GTTAATATATTTCAAAACATCTGGTGTTTTCTTATCAGATATATCAAACATCTATATAAGGAAAGCATAATTTTTAATTAATTTCAACACAAGGTAAATATAAATGAAGATTAATATAGAACAATTCCCTCCATGTTATTTATTTTGTACTACTAGGCATAATATAGAGAAGGATGAGTAATGACACCATTTGATTATAGTTTGTCAAAGGCTGTAGTTATATTAAATGTAGGGGTAATTAAGGTTACATTACTGTTGTCTTCAGGTATTTGAAGGATTTTCTTAATTTTCAATGGGGTAAAATTTAAGACAGTTTTAGGGAGAATTTCCAAGGGAAAAAATTTTTTTATATGCCATGATCTGTATATTCAGATATGATATACCTTGAAACAATGAAATCATTTTGTAATTTTTTTATTGTAAAGGAGGAAAGTGAGTAATGTGGTAATAGCTATGATTCCAAACCAGATCTACAAATCTTCAAAGGCCTGTCTTTGCTGATAATTGAGTCTGTTATCCATCTGCATTTTCAGAGAATTGATGAACACATAACAAAGACATTAGAGAGAGTAAACAAGTACCAGTGGGTGCAAGAGAGTGATTTTCACTTTTAAAGATTTTCCATAAAAACTTCCAATGTTTTGCCTGTTTCCTGAGTTCCTTCTGAGTTTAGCTTTGGCATTCAAGATAGTTGTTGGAAGAAGAATCCTGTTTCTTGCCTAATATCTGCCAAATTTTCTAAGACTGGAAGATGGCCACACAGCAAAAACTTGGAACTAAAATTTCATTAGAATTTCTTATGAGACATTTAATTTCAACATACTATTGAGAAGAAAAGGAAATCCTTACATAATAACATTGGAAAATTGTAGTACTATAATCACAAATCTATCTTGGGCATTGTGATTACCAATATATATGGACTTTACTGTAGAATTTGTATTAGTCAGCTTTTCATTATTACAGCAAAATATCTGAGGCAACCGACTTAATAAAGATAATTGATTTACTTAGCTCTGAAGATTCAAGTCCAAAATTCGGTGGCACCCTTGACTTTGGGCTCTTGGTGAGAGTGTCACACGGCAATGGCAGGAATGTGCATCAAAGTGAGCAATCATATCTTGAATTAGGAAGCAGAGAAAGAAAGAGGACAGGCGAGGGTCCCACAGTCCCCTTCAGAGCATGCCCCAGTAACCCAACAAAGCCCAACCACCTCCCAAACCTCCCAGGATTTTCCAAATACACTACCCTAGGTATCAAGCCTTTAACATGGAGTTTTAGGGAACATGCATCCAAACCATATCAGAATTAACTATGGTTTTCTGAAGTCTTAACTTACATCATACTATATAAGGCTTTACATGGAGTTGAGATAGGTAAAAGCCCAGGTTTTGCATGTTAGTAGCTATGTGACCTTGACCTTTTCCCCGTTTTTGCTTTTTGTAGCATTGATGTTTGCCTCATTGGATTATTGGGAGGCTTAAAAAGTATGTTTTTTTTTTTTTTAAATTTTCAGTGGTGATGGGGATTGAACCTAGGACCTTTCTCATGCAGGTTCTCTACCACTGACCCATATCCCCAGCTCTAATGATTCTCAGGGGATATCTTGGAATATATGAGGCTACACATGTTCTGTGGTATTTGGCACATAGCAGGTTCTTAAATTTATTGCAAAAAGGAAAATGTTGTCCTCATTAATTAATGACTAAGTGGTATAAGCATACATAAAAAGAACTTTCTTGCAGGAATTGGAATACAGGTGGAGTTGTAACCAGTGAAAAGTGCTTTTCACACTAAAATGACGACAGAATGCTTTTGATCAACAATATTTATTTTGATTGGATTAGGATAATATTTTAAAGCATTTATAATTTTCTTCCACAATTCAATAATATGAAACATAATTACAAAATTTAAATTTACTTTTGCTTTATATTATCACTTTACTTCAGGGAACATGAAAAGAGCTACAGAAACAATAATCATTTCTGACCTTCATGTTTTACTTCTAGGAAAGAATTATGCATGTACTCACATATACTTGTGCAAAATATATGTAGATGGATATGGATTATATCATCTCTTTTATAAAAAAGAATCCAAGAAATGTTTATCTTTTTTCAATTGGAGCACTTCATGAGCTGATTATGCTTATGGTATATTTATACTGATACATGTGAAATACTTCCAAAGAATATTCTGAAATGTGAAATTGGTTCTGTATGAGAGAGATATCTTGCTTTGGAGGGAGACTTGCTTTTGTAATTCTTGTATTTTTTCATGGATATATGAATATCAAACTTAGTTAAAATATTTATGGAAAAAAGCAAATGAAAAGGAAAATAATATCCACATCAATTTGACTGTCATATGATGGAGTTGAATTTGCATGTCTATATGTGACATGTCTTTGATACTTACCATTCTATAATGAAATCTTTCTTATATAGTAAAATACAAATTTGCAAAAGAGATAACAATTCTTGACATGTCCACAGAAATAATTGAAATACATAGACTATAATTTACTATTTTTCATCCATATCATTAATATCTGCTTTAGTTTTTAACATTCATGAGAATTTCAGTATTAAATTAGGCAAAAGTTTTAGCTTTCCCTTTTAAATAAAATCCTAATAATTGTGTATCATAAGCTAATTGAATTATCCTCTTATATGGGATTATTCATATGTCTTTATAAATGGAAGCAACAGAAACAAAAACCTAGACTGAAGTTGTTGATTTATCATCTTTTATGTATTTTATTGATATTCTTTGGAAGTATATTATTCCTCATTTTCACTTCTTCAGTAAAATAGCATAACCTAAGTAAAATTAAAAGGCTTTTATTCAGTTTTAGAATTCTTTTTTAAATTCAGGCTATTTCTGCATTAAAAATATCAGGGTTTGAGGAGCTAAGGATATAGCTTAGTTGGAAGAGTGCCTGCCTGGCATGTCCAAGGCCCTAGGTTCAATCCCAATCACCAAAAAAGAAAAAAAATCAGGGTTTGAATATCAGTTGGTGCTATCATAGAGACTTTAGCATAAAGAAAGTTAAACATTGCATCCCATATAGTCAGGTCAATTATTTTTCAGATTGACATGGAACTTCTGAAAGCAGTAGCAACTTGTAACTTCAAACATGAAGTTCAAGTACAAAGTTTAGCTTTAAATTTAGTGAATTTGACATTCATGTTTGTGTATTTTCTCCATAAAAACATGTGTGCCACAGAATGATTTTCTCTGTTGAATAAAATAAAGGCAACACAATCTAAGATTATTAGCTCTATGAGGGCAGGACTCTGTCAATCTGACTGTTGTATGCCCTCAGTCAAGTAGTGGGTGACAAATGGTGATGATTAAATATGTATTGATTTATGTTTTAACTTTAGACTGCATGATGAATGGATTTAAATATTGAGAAAATTAAATTGTATAGCTTGTATTTATGTAAATAACCTTCAATTTAAGAAAAGACTATTTCTTCTGAAGATGAAAAGCAAAATATCGACATGTTTATTGAAACCAGAGCACATTGCACCTTCTACCAGGAAGCCTTTTTATCCAAACCTATTTGAATTCTGTTTAGTGATAGTCCTGATACAGTTTGAAATTGATCATGAGTTAACAACCACGTTATATTTTAAGATATTTCATAAGAATTTTTTGACACGATTTTTTTGTGCTTGCCTCCTCTGAAGAATACCCGTAACCATTCAGCCAGGTGTTGAGAAGATCCATAGTAGCCGACTACCCTTCCCTGTGACACCACCTAAGAATCAGCCTTGGAGATGCTTTCACCCTGTACGTCTTCTGCAGCAGCCAAGCAGAGTGCTGACTCCTTCACAGCAGTGAGGAACTCTTCAGGCTCCAGAAGTAAGTTCATTGCCTTCAGTTTGATCGTTGCCAGGAGGTAGAAAAACCCCAGTGGGATAGCTAGAAATCCTGCAAACTAAGATATATATAT